GACATTGACAACACTGCCGTAAGGCGGCAGCGGTCGCGCCAGCGTACGGTGGGAGGCAAGCTGCCACCAATGGTCGCTGGAGGGTGACGTGCGATGCGTTTGGGGTGTCTGGCTGGAGTTGCAGGCCGACCACCACTTCCCGTCTGCCAACGACAAGATAGCCCCATCCATTCGTAAATCATCACCGATAATTGCTGAAAATGTCGAGCTCGCATCGCACCGTTGTGCAAGAGGCCAAAAAGTCTATCACTGCTGCCGTTGATCGATTTGCCGCAAAGGTTTGGCGGCTTGGAAAGGGGCACGAGTGGGCGGCAGAGAACGAGGAGCGCGGTTTTGCGGGGTACCAGGACGAGAGGGGTCGACAGGTCGTGGCGAAAGGGGTAAGTGTCCACGCGGCGGGTGGTTGGTGTTCCTGCTGATGGCGGTAAGCAGATCAAATATCTTCGGCTGCTTTCGTACTGCGTTTCGAGCCAGGTCGCGTGCGAGGCCTGCATTGCGGCAACGCAGACTTGCTGGCGGCCCATTCGCAGCACGATCTCGGAGTACAAACACACTCTATGCCTCTGTTGCCATCGCGCGAAACGTCCCTGCGTCACCAAACACAACGGCAAGATCTTCTCCACGCCATTCGACAGGAACATCGGAGACGCGGAGCCAATCGTTACCAAGTGAGTGGTTTGGTAGGCCATGGCGATAGCGTAGCTGACCCCTTAACAGCTCCCGCACGGAGTTTAATAGATGGAAGGCTGCCTTTCCCACTGCGGCGGAAACGGACGCTGGCGACTCGTCGCCGGAACTGCAACTAGCGTCCGAACAGCACTACACGCCTCCGCCGGTACCGGAACACCTCCTTGCCTTGAGCGCTACGCCTCGTACGGACCGTGTCACGAAGCGCGTTGCGGACTTGTTGGTCGGGGAAGGCGGGTCGCCGCAGAAACGTGCTGCGAACTTGTTGGTGGAGGACGGCGGGCCGCCGCAGAAACATGCTCGAGAGGAACCTCAGGAGCCAGACGTGGTAGCGACTGAAGGACCGCCTCCCTCAAGGTTCGTATGGGACACGTCTCCGGCGGTGGCGCACGGCAGGCGCTCCACCGAGTACCATAACCTCAACGCTCGCCGTGGACAACGATCGCAATTTGTCGACACTGTGGAACACTGCGACAAATTGGCCAACTCTCTTCTCGCCGTTTTGGCCCGCGGTCACGCTCCTTTGGAGCTGCTCAACGCCCTAAAGACCGCCGAGCGTACCTATTGATGCTGTTGTCGGACGACGCTCTTCGCCTCTATCAGCACGTTGAACTGGAGACCACCGAATATGCCGAGCATTGCCTCATTCAGGAAGGCACTGCACAAACCGGCCTCATTATTGCCGACTGTCATGTCAGCTACGCCCAGCGCATCCGCGCATGGAACCGTAGTAGGGACGCCGGCATCGACTCGGCGGCTCCTGCGGCTCCACCCGGCGATGCTCTGCTTCTTGCTCGCGCCCGCGAGCCGATTACCGTCGGCCGCCGGGGTGATGCGTTTGTGATTGGCGCTGGAACGACGAAGCTGATCTCACTTGGAGATAGTGACGAAGAAGCTGACGAACTGGATAGCAGCTTGGCCACCCCTCTGATCGGTGACAAGGCAAAGGCGACCACTTCGGCGGCGGCGCGCTCGACTGGCAGTGTTTTGGCTGGGCGCACTACTCGATCGGCAGTCGGAGCAGGCTTGCCAACCGTAGAGGTGGCGAGGCGTGCTGAGGCCAAGAAGAGGACGAGGGGCAAGGGCGGCCGTGGCAAGCGTCAACGCTGATCGGTGTCTGTACCTCTGAAATAGATCAGTTGCGTGGCGCTTGTGGGTGCGATGCCTTGAAGTTGTGAAGAGCCTGTTGTGCGTGTTTGAGATGGCTTGCTGGCTCCCAAGTATTGTTGGTCTCGTTGTAGCCGGCCCATCAAACGCAGTATTCCAGGCCCTCCGGCGTTTTCCGGGCTGACACGATGTGGTCGACGTGGTATTCTTGCGTGTTGTCACGGACGTCTTGCACCCTTCGGTGCGCATCGGATGGCCAAGGCGTAGTATGATATCGCGGATCGGTGGCGGCGGCGATGGGCGGGAATGTTCTAGTACGGGCGCGGCGTCGGTCTCGGAGTTGGCCCAGCGGGACGTAGACCGCGTGGTTGTGCTTCCACAATTGACTGGTCGTGTCGAACGCTACCACCCGTTTGACTTCGGCGGGTAGGACCTGCGTTTCCCAACGGATTCGTTCCAGCAACTCATCGTACCCGTTGACAAGGATCTGCCCGGCTGAGGCACGCAACCCCGGCAGTAACACACGTTTGTTGAGCTTGTTACGTGCGTTGGGTCCGTCGTGCATGTCCGGTTGCCGTGTGAGACCGTCGACCTTACACTGCGCGCCGGACTTGTACCGAATGTCGAAATGGTAGTTGGCCAGCAGGAGACTCCATTGTGCCTGACGCGCCGTGAGTGCCCGTTTTGTAGCGAAGTATTCAAGGCCCTTGTGGTTGGTGTGGATACAAATCTGTTCCTGCGTCCCAAGGCAGTACTGGCGCCATTCTTGCAGAGCATCGACAATCGCGAGCAGCTCCTTATCATGGATCTCGTAGTTGCGTTGAGCAGAATTCAACTTCCGAGATCAATATGCCACGGGGTGCCACGTTTCCTTGGAGTCGGCCGGCGTCTCTTGGCGTGGCTGGCTGAGTGTAGCGGCGATAGCATGATCGCTAGCGTCGGTCTCTACTAGGATCGGCAGGGCCGGGTCGAAGTGGCAAAGCAAGGGTTCGTGCGTGAAAGCTCGCTTCAACAAGTCAAACGAACGCTGTTGCAGATCCCGCCATTCGATCGGTCCCTTCGCCTTTCCTTTCAGCAAGTCGGTGAGGGGGGCTATTACTCGGGAGTAAGCGGGAATGAATCTCCGGTAATAATTGGCGTAGCCGAGGAACACCTGTAGCTGGTGGACATTGCGCGGTGCAGGCCAATCGTTCATGGTTTGAACTCGCTTCGGATCCATTCGTACACCCTTGGTGGATGCCAGGAAACCCAAATACTCGACCTCCTCCACGTCGAACTCGCACTTGCTAGCCTTGGCAAACAACCGGTACTCTCGAAGCCGGCCCAGCACAGTCTGAACGACGGCGTCGTGATCTACGCCTTCGCCAGTGTAGATGAGGATGTCGTCCAGGTAGATCAGGACGGTGATGTCCAGCATATCCCAGAAGACATAGTTCATCAACGCCTGGAATGTGGACGGCGCGTTGCACAGGCCAAACGGCATGACAAGGTATTTGTATAGCCCGTATCGAGTTTGGAACGCCAGTTTCCACTCATCGCCCTTGCGGATACGCAGGAGATTGTAAGCTCCCATGAGATCCAACTTGGTCATCTTCACGGCGCAAGCAAGGCGGTCGAGCTGTTTGTCGATCAGCGGGATCAGGTAACAATCCTTGACCGTCACGGCATTGAGACCTCGATAGTCTACGCATAGCCGCATTGATCCGTCCTTCTTTGGCACGAACAGGATTGGCGCGGCGGCGGGGCTGTTGGATCGCCGGATGAACCCATTGGCAAGCATCGTATCGAGGTACTCGCAAAGTTCTTGGAGCTCGCGGGCTGAGAGCGGATAGAGCGGCCCGAACGGAGGCTGTTTACCAGGCTCGAGTTCAATTTTATGATCGAAAGGTTGATGCGGGGGCAGCTGGCTTGCTTCGACTGGGCTGAACACATCCAGGAACTTGCGGTACTTAGATGGCACCGACTCGGCGGGCGTTGGCTTTGGGGCAACATCGGCGTCGCCCGCAGCGGCACTTGACAGTTGCATGGTCAAATCGGCGGTGGTCTCCTGGATCATGGCGTCGAGATCGTCCCATGTAAAGCTGGAGATTTTGGAGCGGCACGCTTGGGCGTCCTTGAGCAGGGACGGCATGGAGACTAGGCTGAACGCCCCATGCGCTCCTTGTTGAACGCGCGCAGTTGTACGTACCGGTCGCCGCCGAGTACTTGTGATCTGCAGCCGGCGGAAAATCAGTCGGCGGTGACTCCAGTCGTACAATGGGCAAGCTGTCTCTTGCCAGTCTAACCCTAATACTAAATTGTGGACCGATGGTACCACAAAACATCTCCAGGATGCTGTAAGAAGTGAATCGGCAATGACAACATCGAGTTGTACTTGTTCGGAACAGATGCGCTTACTTCCATCGAGTAAGCTGACCGCCAGCGGTGTGATAGGTGTAGCTTTGAGTCCTGCTTGAGCTACAAACTCTGGAGATACGATCGACGAGGTGCAACCTCCGTCGATCAATGTGAAGGCCTCGCTGCCGTTCACCTTGACCACGCACTCATACGCGGTCTTTGTGGGATGCCTAGGTAGCACCACCTTGTCGTTCTCCACATG